ACCGCGGCGCTCCCGGGCTTTGGGCTCGGGGTGGGATGGACGGGGACAGCCCGGGAGCAGGCACGGACGCGGGTGCGTCCGCAGCGTTGTGCTTCAGCAGCGCCCAGCGCATTTCCGAATGAGACCTCCGCCTCGTTCTCCAGGTGTCTTCAGCACCCACAAACGAACCACCCCAGCTGTCTCACCAAGCTGGGGTGTGCGCACACCTCCGCCGCCGGAGAAGTTCCACGCTTGCTCCCAGAGAGATTCTGGTGTGCTGACTGCCAGGGTCTTTGCCGGGGGGGTTTGTCTGTTGACTTGCGTTGGTTTTAAGGCTAAATACGGCATTCTGAGGGACTGCGAGTTGTGGCGGAGTGCATGGCGATACCGACCTGCGGGAGCGGGGAGGGAGCCCGCTGTTCCCTGGGCAGGCTGGCTGCAGGCCCTTTTTTTTACCGCGCCCCCCCCGCCAGCTCCGCTCCCCTGGGAAACGCAGGGCGATCCATCGCAACTGGCCAGAGGTTGGGAATTCCCTGCTCCACGTGGGGAGGGCAGCTGAAAACGTCACTCTCTTTTCAAATCAGTACCCCGAGTTCATAAAGAAATAGGTATTTTTTGTCCCGTGTGCTTTAGTGAAGCAGATGGAGACATCGGTCTGGGGAGGGCAGGAATCTGCTTTCTGCCTTTTGGTTTGTGCTGAGTCTCTTCGTTTCCCTGCTAAAGTGCATACGAAGTGAAAATCCGGTTAGGCTGAAGTTTTGGTGTGGTGGGATTTTCTGTAGGGTCTTCTTTTACAATAAAGGACAGGATTCCGCTAAATTAACTTCAAAAACCCGAAAACTGCCCAAGCCGCAGGCGGAGGAGCCCCGCACCAGCGCCGCTGTGCATCACCCTTTCCCCCCTTCTTGATTTTTTTTTTTCAGGGAGGGGGAAGGCTGGTTTTTCTTTTGTTCTAGGGAAAAGAAGAAACAGATTTGATCTTGTACTCATTTAACCCCTTCCACAGAAACCTCGCGCTCTGCCCCATCGCTGCCGGCGGAGGGAGGGAGGATTCCTCCGAAGCCAGGACAGCTCCGGCGAGAGGTTCCTGGGCTCTGCACGATCCTCACGGCCAATTCTTTCAGAAAAGGGGAATTCTTCTTGTAAACTCCTTGCCACGAAGGCAACCTGGTGCAGAAGGGCACGTACTGCAACTAGCCTTTTGCAAAGTTTACAAAAGACAGCAAAATTCCAGCCGAAGATCATAACCTGGGACTGTGTTTAACACGCTCTTACACCCCAGGGAGCAAAACGACAAATCCCCTCTCTTTGTGCACTTCAAGGCACTTCGCACTTGCCGGGGTGACATCCCCGGGGCCGGAGGGAACGGCTCCCTCCTCTCCTGACTTAGTGGGTTGGGATTTTTCTTTTCTCCCTCTGCAAATGGATCTGTGCCCTTTCTTTCCAATCAGAGCTGCGCCATGCGTGCAAACTGCAAAGTATTGTCAGTAAGAAAACTCAGGGGAGGAGTCCTCCAGGAGCATCCTTACCGCCGTCACATCAGTGGGCACCTTCTCCCCTGTAAGCACAGACATCCCTGCGCGCAGGGGCACAGCTGGCTCATGAACACTGGTGGGGAAGAGTTTGCAGCCGACGTAGAGTTTTTCCCAGATGTCTGGTTTTGTCCTGAAGAAAACAGACCTCAAGCAGGCGGCATCACAGAAAGGTTCTCAGCCTTTTGCTGAAATCAATTCGTGATACATTGCAAATGGACTTCGGGAGCACGCCAGGCTTTGCTCAGCCCCCGAGCGCCGGCACAGCTCACATCTCCCCAGCTGCTGCCCGGCACCTCAGAGACCTCACACGGTCCCCTCTGCAAGATTTGTAACCCTGGGGAAAGCCAAAACAAAAACAGAACTGGATTTGGACAAATTTGTGTGAGAAAAAAAAAAAGCCTGGGAAGTGAGAGCCGTTGGGATGCTGTCAAGCCATTCCCGGCTATGGATGCTGCGATGGGTCTCAGCCAGAGCTGGGCACGGGTCTGGTGCCTGCGGGCTCTGCCTTCCCGGGAGGAGGAGGATGGGGGGTGAAGCACACCCTGCAGCCGCAGAACCAGGAGGTGGGTGGGGATTCCCAGCCGGCCCAGCACATTTCTCCAGCGGGCAGGGCCTTCCCGGAGGATGCCGCGCCGGGACACCCTGCCCACTCCTCCACGGCCAAAGCAGATGCTGGGAATGTGCCAAGGGGGAATTTGGAGCGAGCTGGCCCGAAGGACTTGTGGTCGGAAGGACATTTGGGGCAAAGGCAGGGAGAGCTGGAGATGGAAGCGGGAATTAGCGCAAGCTTCGGCAGCGTCGTTATTCACTGGGACGCCTGGAAGCTCACCGCTAAGATACTTGAATTTTTCTTAGCCTGTTTAAACCTGGATGAAAAGATTGCCCTTTGTTGTCGATCATATATTGCTGTTTCTACTCTGTTAGAATTGTCTATAATTTTGTTCTAATTTCTTACATTCGTCCGGGCTCTCTTTGATCGCTGGGTGGGTTGTGAGAAGGCGTTTCTGCCGGGAAGCGAGTGCCCCCGCTCCAGCCCTCCCCAGCGGCACGGCGGGCGTTGCAGGCAGAGGAACGCCGATTAATTAAGTGCAGCTCACACACACGTTCCTGTGGTTTGGCCGTTTGTCCAGCTGGCCCTGGACATGGCCGAGATGGCAGAAGAGCATCTGCAACTCGGCTTTCTGGGTTTGTTTTTTTCCTGGGATCGTAGTGACCTAAAAGGGGACACAACGCAAAGCAGCGCGTCTGCCAGGGAGGAGATGCTCAAGTCTTCTCCACGGCGGTCCTGGGAAGGAAAGGGTGACGCGCGGCAGAGATGCAGGCAAAACTCCGGGTTTAATTCAAGATTGGGAGTTTGTTTCTTAATATTGCCCCTTTCTCCCCCTTTTTACCACAGAGAGAAGAAACGCAAGCATTTAAAATGATGCCAAAAGGTGCCGTTAGGAACGTTGCCACGAGGGAACTTGTCACCCTTGTCCCCAGCACGGCTGTCGCCACATCAGTGGGGGTTATTAACCGCCAGCCTGATG